AATTTATAATTATTAAACTTGTTTAAGAATTGGAAAATTAAAAAAAAAAAGTTGATTTCAACCAATGTTTTTCTAATTTTAGTTTACTAATTTAAAGTAATGAATAGCTATATTTTTCTTAATTAAATTTATTATTGTAATTAATTTTACAATTTCAAAAACTACTAATTAATATGTAACAAATAATTTGATTTGTTAATGGAAATAATGAAATAAAATATTTATATTTAGAATTGAAATTCAATTTTACCTTATCCCACATCGAATGTCAATAGAAAACTAGAAGAGGATCTCTCCTTTAAAAATGAATATCATGATGGTAGAAGTCATTATTGGGCTTGCTACGAAAAATAGGTGGGCCTCAAGTTTATTCAAAAATTTTTCCCTAATTTTTATTAATTTCGGATCGGATATCCGATAACATTGCAAATCGAATATGGATTTAGCAATTAAATATCCGTTGGATTATCGGATCGGATCGAATAAATTTTCTTATCGAATCGGATCGAATATAGGCAGATCCGATTCATATTCGATCCATTGATAGCCCCAGTGTCCATGCTTCCTAGGTAATACTCTCTGAGTTGCAATATTTTAAAAGAAATTTTGCAATTGGGAATTCAAGATTCATCTTGGACATTCAATGTAATACTCTTCATAGCTGTTAATTCGTCTTCCATGACGGAAAAAACTTCGTATTATTAGGTAATACTCCCTGAGTTGCAATTTGTTAGGAGAAATTTGCAATTGACAATTTAAGATTCACCTTTAGACATTCAATGTAATACTTTTTGTAGCTGTTCAGTCATCTTCCATAGACACACGCAAATGGAAAAACTTTGAATTATTTGGCATGTTGTATGCACTAGTTTAGATATGGAGGTTTTGGTGTTCAGAGATAGGCTGCACGGACGCACCGGAAAGGTCAGAGTATCAATGTCCGACGTCTATTGGATATCGACATAAACAAGACACGTGTAAGATATTCATTCAAGCAGTTGACATGCCAGATACACATGGCTAACACGTTTGTTAGAAAAAAATAGAAATTGCAAAGAAACTAAGATGAATGAAGTTGAAAGAGGAAAATACAAGTCTGTGAAGTTGAATCTGGACAGACAAAATTGCATGACCCTTGATATTTAAACTCCACTATGAACACAAAATGAATGTTCTACACTATGAAACAAAATATATAATTAAATTTGAAAACATTAGATTATTATTTTAATTGGCTTGTCAAGTCCGTGAAGGTGCTTCCAATGATTTTGACTAGGTCTGTTACTGGGATGGGTTTATTCATTAGTTTCCTGAGTATAGCTTGTCTCTTTCTGGTTTTCTTCAATGATTAAGACGGAAGTACTTAGTTCTCTAATTCATTTCTAAACTTTGCAGGACGTCAATGATGAATGTTCTCGATGATATTTAGGTGATGCTTCTGCAAATGATGGTTTCAAGAAGTTCATAGGTGCAGCTTTGGCTGTGTGCAGTCTTTATACAGGTCTATGACCTGGAACTCTCATTCTTACCATCATTTGAACTTGTGGGTCTCTATTTAAGGTGGTTTCTTTTATGGAAAAGAATGATTTTGATTGTAAGAACCTATTGGAGGATTTTTTTTCGTTCTCTTTTCCATGAATAGTAGGAGATTAGCTTAGATGTTTTTAGAGCAAGACCTGGATGGTATGTCAAAACTCTACTGAGAGTAGGTAGATGTAATGCGTTCATAAAGGAGTATTATTGCATATTTTATGATACTACCAGATGTGTGGAAAGTGCATTTAATCTTTCAAGTATTCTTGGGATTATGATTCAGGCTGATGAGTAGTTATTTCCTTTGCCAGCATTTTGCAATTTACATTGGTTAATTGCTGAATATTTCTACTCATAGTCTGTTTTTAGTTATTATGATGCCAGTGGCTCTGATGTATGTGATTTATAATGAAAACCATATTGGTCATTGCAGCGCTTAGTTGTTATTATAGGGTACTTTGTTTTTGTGTTCAGAATTGGGAAAACTGAACCGTTGGTCCGCAATCTTTCGTTTCAGTAGCAAGATAGTTCTCAGACTGTATATTTTTTTCATAAATGCCAAGAATAACCTCTCATAACACAATGCACAATAGAAACTAGTTCAAAAATCAGCCTCTTATGAATGCTAAAAACATAGTGAGTTGAGCTACTCAATGGCTGCAGAAGAACATTGGCAATTTGTTGCATTTGTATGCACTATCTTTATTTCTTAATTTTGGGGTGACTCAAGATCGGGTTGTTCGATTTTTCGTGTTTGTTGTGAATCGTTTCGTAAGAGCGTGTTTGGGTAGACTTATAAGTTTATTTATAAGACGGAGATAGGAAAGGTATGTATCTGTCTTACAAGTAAACTTTGAAGACAACCCAAGCATGCTATGAAGATTAGTTTTACAAACTCAAAAAGTAGAAAACCTAAAAATTAAGAAATAAAGATGGTGGAGTGAAATATTACATGGCGTATAAAAGTAGGATCTCTGTGCAATTTTCTCAAAACAAAATAAAGTTATTATGTTGGAAAGTTGCATGGTTAGTCCCCAACCTACGACTTCTTTACCAAGTTGGTCTCTAACGTTTAAAATGAAATGTTTACTCCTCAACCTTCCACTCCCGTTGCAAGTCTCCCAATGGATGGGCATCCTTCATTTGCTATATAAAATTAAGTTGTTGAAAAATAAGAGGGGTAGAAGGGCAGTATTTAGAGCAAAATCTAGCAAATTGGCTAAGATGGAGATTGAAACTCCACATAAGATTAGGTGGCTACTACAGTAGGGATTGTGGTTAAGCGGGCACTAAGTTGTGGTGGTACACGAGGGGTCAAAAAGAGAAAGGGTTTGTGACTGGACTTTGAAGTAGGATGGACATAGTTTTTTTTTTTTTGGTTCCAATTGTGAATTTTAGAATCGAGAACTGAATGGTTCTTGTCCGATTCTCTATTCTAATTACAGAATTACATCTAATTTAGTTCCATAATTATTTTTTAGTTAAATCTTAATTTATATATAAATTCAAATATTTTTAGAATAACTTAGCATACATTATTATCCAATAACATTAAAGCTATAAAAATTATTTATGAAATGTAAAAGTATAGATCTAAACCTAAACAAAACCTGTGGACCCATAAAAAAAAATGGGGACCAAACAAGAATCGATCCATTGCAACCCGATTTCGTTTTCACAATTCTCAACACAATCAAATGGTCACTTTCTCTAATTCTCGAATTTAGAGGTGTCAAGACGGACGGGCAGGTCAGACCCGTGAAAATCGGCCTAGATCGACCCTGGACCTTGGGCCGATCAGTGACCGAGCGGGCGATTCACGGGTCAAGGAGGTGTGACCCACGGGCTTCGCGGGTTGCACTTCAGGGGCCGCGATTAATCCGCTGGCCCGTGAAAAAAAAAAATTTAAATTTGAAAAAAATAAGAGGGGTAGAAGGGCAGTGAAAAAAAATTTTAAAACTTTTTTTCTCCATAATAGCTAAGAAACGTAATGTTCTTAGTTCTTCATCTACAACTTCAACTGCGAATCCAAATACCACACCTGCTGAATTAGAAAGATATTATCAATTTGATCATTATATTTTAATACCTGAAGATGAAGTGGATAATTTAGATATTTTACGATGGTGAAAATTAAATGAGCGGACATATCCAGTATTATCTAAAATGGCACGAGATATACTAACAGTTCCAATCTCAACAGTGGCATCTGAATCTGCTTTTAGTGCAAGTAACATAGTATTGGACGAAAAAAGATCTAGATTTAAAGAAAATATTTTGGAAACTCTCATATGCGTGAAATATTGGATATTCGCGGATCGAATGATGCAAGATAAAATTATTGATGATGTTGCTGAAAACTTCAAAAATCTTACAGTTCCTGAAAATTGATTGAAAAACAAATATTAAAATATATAATTTT